AAAAGCAATTGCTTTTTGGCCAACCCAATAAATTGTGGTGTATTGCAAGGCTCTAATGACTGGTCCAAATCTTCCTGCAGAACTATGAGCTAGCGCTGAAGTATTTCCAGAAGGCTGCAGAGCAGGGATGGGTTGATGGACAACTTCAACTAGGTTCCATGTATTACAGTAAGTGGCATCAAAGTGATGATTTAGCGGGTCTAAGCATCTGCCCTTTCAGCAACTGTTCACTAGGTGGCGCTAGCAGTCTGTATATTTGTGTGTGGTCTGACTGCATTGCATTTGCATTTACATTTACATTTTATTCTCTTTTCTTTTCCTAACGCTTTCACAATGTCTTTCTTTAATGTTTTTTAAAGAGGAAGTACATACTGCATTCATACAACTCTGCTTTTCATAAGAATGAATAGCAATGACTTGTTCTTTCTTTCAGATGGCATTGGAGTCAAGAGAGACTATAAACAAGCTCTGAAATATTTCAACTTGGCCTCTCAGGGTGGCCACATTCTGGCTTTCTATAATCTGGCTCAGATGCATGCTACTGGCACTGGAGTGATGCGATCCTGTCATACTGCTGTTGAGGTACGGTCATCCATTTAGAAATGTCAACTAATACTGACTTGCAAAAGGTTGGATATAGCCCTGTCAGCTTCTAGAGAAAATCTGTCTTCACTGAAATCCACTGGTGACTGCAGAGCCAAGGCTATCAAATGAAAAAGTGACAGATTCTCAAACTCCATTGTATCTCATGAGAGAAATCTCTGGGGTTTATGTTGATAAAACAATTACAAAATTGCCATATTAGCTTTGAAGAAAATCAAAGGAATGTAATACAAAGCAAACACCAGTACTGTATAAGTACTGAATTCTTCATTTAGGCATGGGGTTTTTTAACCAAAAAACCTGATATTAAGCATTATTCTGAGTAAACATCTGAATCTTGGCATGTATTTGTGTAGTAACCTGTATCTTAAAGTAAGCCTGTCTTAAGCAGTGAGTTGGTCTATAAGGTTTTTCCTGTGAAAAGTCAATGTTTTGAACAGGCATTTGAATGTTAAAGGTTTACCTCCTGCAAAACCTAAATCTCTGAAGTTCCTGACAACCTGTCTTCTCCCCCTTTTCCCTCTGCAGCTGTTTAAGAACGTATGCGAACGGGGGCGTTGGTCTGAAAGACTGATGACTGCCTACAACAGCTACAAAGATGGTGACTCAAATTCTGCCGTGGTTCAGTACCTTCTTTTGGCAGAACAAGGCTACGAAGTTGCACAGAGCAATGCTGCTTTCATACTTGATCAGAGTAAGGACCTGAATTTGTACTGAAAATGGGTTGGTCTGGATTTTTTTGCAGTTGGCCTGCAGTAGCCCATTTAGTAGAGTGCTAGAGTGCTTGATGATATAATTGCATAGCTCTTGTTCAGTTAAAACTTCAGGGAGACTCTCGTTCCCTTGCCTGCTCTTCACACTGGAAAGCAGGCAGTTTACTGTGGCCTAAAAAACAGGATACACTTAAATTCTGACTTATGAATTAAAAATGGGATAGCGAGATAATGCTTTAGAAACTGAAAATTCTCTTCCCTGGACTTCCTAAACACCGCCTTCACATTTTATTTTTACATCTATAAAGTAGCAGTTGCATTAGTTTTACCTTTGGCCTTTACTATGCACATAAGCTTCCGTTTCCTTTGTTCTTTATCTTGTCATGTCTTTTTTCAGCACTTTTTTTTCCCAGATTTTTTGGTAACTTTACTCATACTACTCCTGAAGCAGGGATGAAGCAGTTGATTCTGTCTGATTCAAAAAAAGCTTGTCCTAGGTGTCTCGTTGCAACTAAGTGGCTAGAACGCTATGTCTCCTTTCATTGCCAGGGGTGTTGGACTAGGTGACCTTTAAAGGTGCCTTCCAACCCAAACTAGTCTGTGATTCTATGAATTTTAATCTTTCTGTATTCAAGATCCAGAAATCTGAGGGTCTCATTACCACCTTTAGTGCAATTATATCTTAATTAAAGAATCAGCTTTTGGTGGCTGATAGACTAATCTAACATTTTGATTTCCAGTTGTTTAAGCTTTCAGTTTACTTGACTAGTCTTGTTTTTCAGGTGGTCAAACTAAAATAGCTTATACCTGAGCCTTGTATTTGAGTGCATCTTTGTCAGAGCCTGAATCACGTGCTCCTAACACTTCTGTCTTCTGGCACTCAAGTATCTCCTAGAGCACGAATGGGAGAGACACTTGAGAAGCAATATTTCGGGGTGAAATTTATATATTTTGTTCCTAGCTTTTATGTGGGCAGATATATGGAAATACCATACAAATGGTCTTTCCTGTGTGGCTTAGTCCAGGTGATCCTGCTCTGGCAGGGGGGTTGGACTGGATGATCTTTCAAGGTCCCTTCCAACTCCTAATATTCTGTGCTGCTTTTCCAAATGACTGGGCTTTTTATAAGTTTCAGACTTTATCTGAATCTTGTTTGTGCCATCGCATAGATTACTTCAAGTTTTTCAGCAGACTGAATATAAGCACAAGGGAGGTTGTGATTTTGTGTGCATATACCATACTCCTATTTCACTGAATTACTCTCTTCTCTAGAAGAAGCCAGCATAGTAGGAGAAAATGAAACCTATCCTCGAGCTTTGCTTCACTGGAACAGAGCAGCTTCTCAAGGTATGTCTGTACCTCTCAATTCCAATTAGTTTATTTTTAGTAGCGCCATTAATGTTTGATTTTGTGGTGTTTGAAACAGGGTACGTGCTGTTGTTCCTGTTAGCTATAATGTCATTGCAATAGGCTTGCAGTTCTGAGCCATTCTGAGATCCTGAAGATGAAAAGGACTAAAACACAAATGTACCATGTGTTTCTTTTGCCATTCCATATGCAATCATAGAGTGGGGTTAGACAGCACTAGGAATGTTTACATTGACTTCTCTAAAATTAAATCCATTTGGAAAAGTAGATACAAAATACTCCTTAGGATTTTGGTACTTGTCATCATTTACAAGAAATGCAATTTCCTATTCAAAGCATGTAAAGCTCAGCGATGAAGAATGCAGTCTTGATATCCAACTAAGCCAAGTTTAAACTCTGGTGCTTGTGATGCTATCCTAAAATAAGCAAAAGTAAACTTAATCATTCACTCTCTCAGCGTGAGGTCTCTAACTTTCATATGGGTGCATCTACATGAATGTCTGCCTACTGGCGTTACTTAAGACCAAGTGTGTCATGCAAATGGAGCCCAAGAGTTTTGTCTGACATACTTGGCTTTTAGAAAGTTAGAAACTGAGAGGATGCAATGGTCGAGTATTCAATTACCAAATGATAATGAGAGACTTGAAAAATAAAGTTTTCAGTGTCTTTGCTTTAAAAACAAAGCTGAAGCCCTTAATGACCGTATAACAAATGTAAAGCTTTTCTGTAATACGTGCCTGAACAACATGATATGGCTCTTCAACTGATGCCACTAAACAGCAGTAAAAGAGTTGGTAGGATTACTGGGAAAAGGACTTTCCTGAAAACAGAAATTGGTTGCATTTTGGTTAGCTAAACCCAGTTAAAAAAAAAAGCCTTCAGTGCATCTTCATGTGAAACTAAAAGGCTTTCTTTACCTGGCTAACTTACCTTTTTGTTGTTGTTTCTTGATTTATAGGATACACTGTTGCAAGAATTAAACTTGGAGATTACCATTTTTACGGTTTTGGTACAGATGTCGATTATGAAACTGCATTTATTCACTATCGACTGGCATCAGAGCAACAGCACAGCGCCCAAGCAATGTTTAATTTGGGCTACATGCATGAGAAGGGATTGGGCATCAAGCAGGTGAGTGAGCTGTGGGCTGACAGTCTGCTTCACTACAGTGCCTAGGATATTAGATTAATCCTTAACCACTTACTAGGCTACTCTATGATCCCTTAGCAGGAATTGGTGTGTCATTCTCCAATAGCAAATGGATAAATATATCCATTTCACACTTACTTACATGAAGAAATGAGGCATGGCCAGGGGAAAAAACCTGTTTGCCCAAAACTGTGAAGATTAGCAAAGAAAGTGCCATGTGCTCGAGTAATGCCTTCAAGACTTTTGAAGAGCGATGAATTGAATGCACACAACTCCAGGTTCAGAGTATTTTAGCACAAGATTGTTCTTATCCTCTGAAGCACTGGTTAATTTGGTTTTTAAATCATGACATTTTGAAAACAAATTCTTTGCATCTTCATGTAACAAGCCATAAGCACCACCAACAATGTGATTGTTAGCTGTGGTTTTTTAAATGAGCCTAGGCCACAATTTGCTTTACAAACTAAAAGGAGGCAGTATATCTGGTTCTCTTAGGAGGCCTGTGGTGTATTGCCGTCCACGAGTTAACTACAATTTATGGAAATCCAGAGCAACACGTTCTTGTATCTGTCAAAATGTGAACACTTACTTGTGAACATCCCTCAGGAAACAAAAAAAAGGAAGTTTTACTGAATTATTTGTGTTCAACTTGACCAAAAACCTTGCATTTAAATGACAGTATACAATGCTTACAGAAAAATCTACACTTTAAGGTGAATTTTTCAAGTTCTTCAAAACTGAGCTTTGTATTTTCTGAACTTCAGGATATTCATCTCGCCAAACGATTCTATGACATGGCAGCTGAAGCAAGCCCAGATGCTCAGGTTCCAGTCTTCTTGGCACTTTGCAAGCTTGGAGTGATTTATTCCTTGCAGTACGTACAAGAAATCAACGTAAGTAACGCAGAATTAAAAGGAAAAACAACAAATGTACTTTCCATTTTTAAATTAAGCTTAAGTCGTAATATTACTTAAGTAGACAGATGTGTTTTGTGTTGTTAAGAAAGTTACTGATTCCTATTTTTGACTTGTGCAATTGCATGAACCCAAACGTGCACAGCCAGTGCTCTTCTGTGCTGTTCTTCCCTTGAGGAGAATTTCCCTAACCCGTTTGACTGTTTCATGGCTATCTGCTATCAAAATTATTATTTATTCATAGCCCTAATTCTCATGCTATTGTTTTATTTGGCTCTTAACAATCCCACTTGATCTGTGTTTGATTTCTGTGGGAGAAAAATATTACTTGCATTAGATACTTTAGCTGTCGTGCAGAGTTTCTGCTGAGTGATGGCATGAAAAACTATTTGCCTGCAATTTAGGTGACTTCTTTCCATATGTTGTCTGAAATATTTCTCAGTATTCTGACATCTTACTGCCTTTTGGATTACTTAACAAATTCAGATGGTATAGAAGTTATTACCACTTGGAGCAAACACAAGTTCAGGCAGTCCAGCCAAGTTTGACAGAATTGTATAGTCTTGAGACTGGGGACTTTCAGGAATGGACAGTTAAAATACCCTAAATCACTTGAGCAAATACCCTGGTAGCACTCACAGAAGCTACTAATGCAGTACAGATATTCCAGGTTTAACATTGACAAGGATTCTGTATCAGTCAGATACAGTAGTGAAGCATAAAGTGTGTTGGCTAATAGTCTGATAAAGTCTGATAAAAAGTCAGTTGTCAAAACTAAGAGTCACTTGCCTTATCTGCACAGATCTCAGCACTGTACCACATAAATATCCCAGGGCTTAATGCTCTGTCACTCGTGGTAGTCTGCTGATGGCTTCCGATTTGGCTGGACTGAGGAGTTCACTGCCTCTGTGCATGTGGCACTTGCTCCTCTTTCTTTAAGACAACTATGGTTACGCACCTCAACCTGTTTTAAATTACGCCCTTGAATGCTGTGTATGTGAGAGCCACAGAGCTGTGTATTAAGAACTTGCATCTCTAGAACAGAAAATACACCAGCTCATCCCGTACAGCATGGCTCTAAGTTTTATTGGTATTTGGTTCCTGGAAGTTAAGAACATCCCTGATGTGATACTGTTTTTTCAGAGAGAAAAAGAGCTACTAAGTTTTAAAACCTGTACATGAAAAATGTTGCAAGTTGCATTTAAAAATCAAGGTAACTTCCCATTCTTGCTTTTTGACGTGGTGATGTGGACTTCTTGTCTCTTAGATAAGGGAGGTGTTCTCACATATTGATATGGACCAGCTGCTGGGGCCTGAGTGGGACCTTTACCTTATGACCATCATCGCCTTGCTTCTGGGAACAATTATAGCTTACAGACAAAGGCAGCATCAGGCAATTCCCAGAGCAGGACTGCGGCCAGCTGTGCCTCCACAGGAACCACCACCAGAACATCAACCACCGCAATAGCAACAGGAGCCTCAGCGAAGAACTGGATTTTTCCAAAAGGAACAATTTTCATTGTGATTTAGGACTTCAGATCAACGGTCCCTCCCCAAAAAGAGGCACAAAAGTTTAGGAAAAACAAATAAAAGTCTGAAAGCTGCTTAGAATGATGCCTTCTTTCAGGGATAAGAAAACTCTTCTGAAACTGATTTGAATGTTATTTCAGTGCCAATGGAATAACGCTATGGCTTTTTTTTTTTTCATGGAAACACAAGTGTGCTACTACAAAAATGTTGCCTGCTGTATCTAGTTCCTCTTTATTCAGAGCTCTTTTCATCTCCTAGAGAGAGCAGAAGGCTAGCGTTGGAAGGGTTTTGCCTGCCTGATAGCAGCTCCCTACATAAAAGTAATAACAAGAATAATTTTCTGGTCCGTTTCAGTCCCAAGAAGCTGAACTATATTTAAAGTCTAAAAAGACTAGAGCTGTATAAACTTATATTCTGGTCTGCATCCCGAGTCTTTCTACAATCCTTATTTCATTATTTCTTGGTATTCCCTACATTTTGGTCTTTTATGCTGTCTTGGATGGTTTAACAAGGATTATTTGTAAATTCTGTAAAACAAAGCCAGCAAACACGCCACTCCATTTGTGCTTTTTAGTTTGGAGTATTTTCCTCCACTCCCCTTAGACAAGGCAGTTCTCAGCAGGCAGCATCTAGCCCAGGAGGCGGATTGGGACAGACCGGGTCTGTAAAGCTCATCAGTTGAGAACTATCCACACAGTGCCCAGATCTTGCATCCTTCCACAGCTTTTTTTGGAGCCTGTGTACTTTGCAATACTTCATAACATAAAAACAAATTCGTAGTGTTCCTAAATCGTTTAAAACTTGCTTTTATGCAGAGGCCGAGTCTAAATTGCAGGAAGCACCAGTATTATTGTGGACACTGAAGAAAGGACAGAGCCAGAAATCTCGGTGAGGTAGCTTACTTTTCATTGTTTGTTTTTAGAGGTGGAAGTTCTGTATTTAATTTTCAACTATCCTGTAAGTGGTCTGCGCTGTGAGAAGGTCTTCATGCAGCTGAAATGTGTGGGGTATCTCACGCGTGCACCTGTTTAATGCATTGACAAAAAAGGGCCCCAAAGATGCACACCCCTTAAAAAAGGGGGTGAGCTTATGCCAGTGATGCTACTGCAAAGTTTGGCTGATTGATAAAAACCCTATGTTAGCTTACAGCAGCGCTCTGGCTGCTGCCAATCTCTCTTGGACCTGGCATACACAAGAAAGCTAAAATAACATCTCTGGCTGTGCCATCTTGAGGAGGATCCCTTGTAACAAGAAAACCCAAAGAGAAAGAAGACTAATGGCTTCTTGATAGCACCAGGTCAGTGCAAAGGCCTCTTAAGGAGTGTGAAGAATAAGACCTGTGGACTGATGTTTTTAGACTGCAAGAGGAATCTTCATTGGTAATGATTTTCATTGAACTATAGTTTCAGGGGTTGGGTGGGAAGCAGCAGGGGACTAGCTCAGAGGCAAGGAGTTTCTGTTCTTACTTACCCATGGCAGTTAAGTATTAGTTTCTGTACTAGCATTAAACCCTCTGATTATCCAGTCTTAAAGCTGAATGCAGTACAAATGAAGAGGCTTGAGCTGCTTGCTTGTGTTTAAAGGGTTAAGGGCTTCCTTTCATGCAAATTATTTTCCAGTGGATTGGCAGCAATGTACCAATATGCTTCATTTAGAATTGAGGCTTTGGTACGGTTTCATACTTAGTACATTTGTAAGGAGATCATTTCACAATGTATCAGTAGTTTGGGAAAGAAGATAGGCAATCCACTCTTTTGTAAACACGAATGACTAGTATTCAAATACCGGTAGGACTTCTCAGTACTTCAAAACACACATGCTGCTGACGTGAAGACAAATCTTTCACTTTAGTTTGGAGGGTTGCAGCACGTGAAGGAGGAATGTCTGATTCGGTCTTAATCACCATGAGCAGATGGAGCAGTATTGAACCTAAACGTAGTGTCTAAAATGTACAGCACTCCCCAGCTGCATTTCTAAGATACCTGTGACTTCAAACACACTGAAGTGTTTTTGCCTCTGTCACTTAACAGCTCTTTTTAGCTTGGCATGAATACGTTAAAGACTATATGGGAAATGTTTTCCAGTTAAATACCACTGGTTCATTGGTATTGGTCTGTTAGGATGTTTAACGATTTTGTGACCGCGTTATTAAAATGTTTTGGTTGCTTGATCTACTAGAACTAAATTCTAAAAGTTCTATTTGCATGAGAATCTCTCATCGTTGCTGCTACGTGACAGTCTTACAGCTGACTTTTCACTGAACCTGATGCATTTTTACATCCAAGAAATCAGCAGAAGAAAATGGAGATCAGCAAGGTGTTTCACTTTTTAAGAACTGCTTTTCGAAGAAGCAATAAGGAAAAGTCTTTCTCCTGCTTTTTTCCCTTCCACCAGTTCGCTGCCGCTCTTTCAGATGACATTCATTTGAATGAAGCGGCAGTGATCAAACCGTACTTACCATGAGTAATGGCGAGTTAACTCAGGGATTAAAGAAATGAATACATTTTCTAAATCAGTTGTCTACAACACGACTTCAGTTTCTTGCGACAATCCCTTGCCTGTTCTGTTCTGGACCTTGCATTTTGAGGGAAATAAGTACATTTAACTCTTACTAGTGATAAGTCTGCTCTTGTGCGCTCGGTTTATCAAGCAGCTTTTTTTCCTCAAGGAGCTGGGTTGCTCAGTTTACTGCAGTGAAGTGCTATTCCCTTTTGGTAGCACCCAGGCTGTCTTACAGTTTATACACAGGAATATTTTAGAAGAAGTCTTGTCTTCCTGGGTAAGTTGAGTGTGCTTTGAATGGAGAAGTTGTATTCTTTGTAGTAACGTAGGCCAGAGCCTGCCTGTTTGACCTTCCCAGAAACGTGCACAGAGAATGGATCTGCAGAGCAGCAGCTGTTGGTAGTGGGAGTTTTATATGTAGGAAAACATGGGGGAAAACATCGTTCTTCATCTCAAGTTATTAATCCAACACATTAGCTGTTCTTGCTGGTTGAAAGACATGCTGAACTGTTAAGAAAACAGGATTCTAGTTCATTACTCTTGTGAAACTTGTCCCAGAGCTGTCTGTTGAAATGATTTTTTTTTTCCTTGCTTGATGTTGTCCATCGTGGGACAATATGATAGGAGACAAGGCCTTTGATACAAACATCCAATGAGACTCTTAGGAGATAGTTTTACTTTTGAGTCAGCTTCCACGTCAGCTGATCCTATTGAAGTAAAGAGAAAAAGAAATCCAATGTTACTCTTTTTGGAGAACATGACAACATGGGTTGTGAAAGGACTTTTAAGACTATGCATTACCTACTTTCCACCTATTATATGCTAGTTTTGGCCTATAAAAGGGGGGATCACACTCACCTGTGCAAGTTGCTTCCTTTTTAGATAGGCAACGATGAACCAAAATTCTATTTTTGTTTCAGAGACTATTCAACTGAAAAGATTTCGTTTGATTTGAACTACTGCAAACGCATATGGCAAATAAGAACTATTTGGGGGGGAGCTCTTTGTTTTTATCAGCTGCAGTTCTTTAAAGGGTCTTGCAGGAGTTTTGTAAATTTATTTTGTATTTAAAATCAGTATAAAGGCTGGTCAAATGTAATATAATTGTGTAAACAAATTCTGTTAATAGAAAGATGTACAGATTCATTTTGTACTGTATCTTTAATCTTGTGAAATAAAGATACCACCCGTGTGGTTACCCTCAGTGTTCACAGTGGTTACGGTAACAGGATGTCAACTGTTGGTTGTATGCACTGATATATACCACTGCTAAATGCATCCTTTCCTATAAGGATACTCACACTTCCTCCAGTTCTATTCCTCTTCAGACAATAAAGCTGTTAATTTAAGAGGGGTATAGGAAGGGGAACAGAAAATTATGCGCTGTAGCTTGAGCTGTGCTAGAAACTTGCTCTGTGTGTGTGTGTGTGTGTATATGTATGTATGTCTCTGTGTGTGTATATCACAGAATCGCTCGGTTGGAAAAGCCCTCTGAGATCATCACGCCCAACCGCTCCTGTCTACCCCCTAAACCATATCCTTAAGTTCCTCATCTACCCGCTCTTTAAACACACCCAGGGATGGTGACTCCACCACCTCCCTGGGCAGCCTGTTCCAGCTTCTGACAACCCTCTCAGTAAAGAACTTCCTCCTTATCTCTAACCTGAACCTCCCTTGGCACAGCTTGGTGCCGTTTCCCCTTGTTCTATCCCCCATCACCTGGGAGAAGAGCCCAGCACCCACCTCTCTCCAAGCTCCCTTGAGGCAGTTGTAGGGGGTGATGAGGTCTCCCCTCAGCCTTCTCTTCTCCAGGCTAAACAAGCCCAGTTCCCTCAGCCGCTCCTCATATATATGTGTGTGTGACCCCTTCAGTGCATACAGCACCTGTACAGTGTGGGGCAGCCTCAGAACTGCTCTGTGATTCAAGGATCATGACCACCAACTTTAGGATTGCTGTTGCATTTTCACTACCAATACAGGGAAGAACAGTGACTACAAACAGATACTGAGGGAGGACTGCTCCAAGCAGCCAAGTCTGCTTGCTTTTCCAGCCTTTTTCCACCTACTCATCCCTTCAGGCTTCACCTGCTGAGACTCTAAGTCCTCCCTCACAAATGTATCATGATGGTTTGCTTAAAAATGTGCTTATTAATTTCGAAGAAAACAACTAAGGAGAGTGAGGAGCAATGGTAACAGCTGTGGCAGGCATCAACAGGTGAACGGTCTCAGTCATCAGCCCAAATTATGTAGCTTTCTGAAGTATTTGGAGGCTTCCCACATCACTGCCATTGCCAATAGCACCTGTTGAAGGTAGCAAACAGGACCGGTACTAAAACCAGCTTGAGTCTGGCTGATGGAGCTGAAGCTTAGAGAGGTCATCCCTCACCTTCCCAAAGAGCCCATGGTGACGTGATTGCTGATGGGCTCAAGAACTTGTAGCAAGGAGTTGTTTTCTGTGGTGGGAAGAGAGTAGCAGGTATAGAAATGACGGGGTTGGAGAGGAGGCACTTTTTTTCCCTTTAAGAAAGAGCCAGTGAATAATGTTCATTGAAAACGAGTATATTTGCTTGCATTT